AGAGTTCTTCGCTAAATTAAGGGTGATTGATTTTGTAAGAATGAGTTATCCATCACTTTTCCAACTTTAATGTCATCGGCAGTAGCACGGATGACTAATTATTCATGAAATGGCTGCTTTGCCAAAATGTAGTTCTTATAGACTCTAGAAAAAGTCCGATAGAATGGAAATTTTTGGCTCTCCGAGATGAGAAAGTTCACAATTTGAAACCCATTATTTAGTCTAATTCAATGCAGGCTATAATAGATTTTTAGCTGCTAAAGATACTGAACTCAAAGGATGAATTGTCTAAAACAATGATCACGATGTAAGTCAACTATTAAACATTCAATTAAAACAGATTAAGTTTACCGAGGAATGCTTGTGACCACCAATCATGTTCTTGCGATTTTCTCAGGCGTTGTTGCTGGCACTTCAATTCAATTGATTCTCCATTCTCTTGTTTGATTGCATCCGTTTCGGCCAATATTAATGTTCGTAATTCACCAATTCTCCCTTCAATCAACTGATGATAATTACCATCGAAAGAGCCGTTTTTCGTAGTACACATTTGTTCGAAACGATATCCAACGTCGTTTCTATCGATACCACTATATGCAGCATAACGTCTTAGAAATAGTGTAGAATCGATTCGAACAACACTGATTATGTAATCTTCATCATTCATGAGAAATTTACGGATTGAATTTCTCTCACTGATAATATCATATTGACGAATATTAACACGAGCATGTTGGGCAATTAGAAGAAGAGGCAAGATAGAAGCATGGGTTGGTTTATGAATATGAGCATTGCGTTGAGGACCACTTGGCAGACAAGCAGGTAGTATAGGTTGGACAAAATAAGGACTTTGACCGGGTATAATAATACAACGACGATAGTCGACAATACTTAACGGATTTTTAGGAAGACGCCAGGAGAGAGTGCAGGAGGCAATAATTCGAGGATCATATAAATCGACCGATGATGGTGATATATCCATTAACTCAGGAGGATAATCTTCTAGGGCGATGATCAGTTGAAGACGAGTAAAAAGCTCATTTGGAAGACCGTTTCGAGACTTTTTAGCTTTTCTTTTTGGTTGTAATGCTGAAGCCATATTGAATGAAATAATTAAACAATGTTGTAGTAGTGTAAAAACCAACGTCAGGGATTGATTGTATACTTAGCTGATCAAACGATGTTCGATTTATTATTATTCATATTTCATGTTTTAAGATAAATACTATATAATAGAACATATACTTGATACCATACTTTTTTCTTTTTTTTCTATGTTTGACAGGTTTTTCTCTGTCTCACGTGTAACAGCAGTTATCTTCCAGTGTCTCAGTCAGCGATCATCATATAAGAGAAAGAGATAAGAAAATGCTGAGATCCATCTATTTGATATCCGATAGAAGGGTGTGGATTCGGATGTGGGCGAACACAATGGTTACATCCACACCCCTAAATCATGGTAGACATCTCAAAACAAGCTTCATTTTTGCTTCTCTTTTCTTTATATATGGAGAATTTAATCTGACCATAAAGAGCCGACTTTAAATGTGGGTGAATGGGTAGGAAGAATGTGAGTCTGCTACTCGTCCACATCCATACTTTCATCGAACTTCTTGTCAGTCAATTTTGTTGGGCCATGGTTTTCAATCCCGACCAATTCATTTTGCTAGTTCTTTTCCCATGTAAAAAAAATAGTAAGAAATTGTTTTAAAATTGATTATTTTTTTATTTAAAATCAATTACAATGGCATGATTTTAATTAAATTTTTTAACTATAAAGCAGAGTTCTCTAATTTTTTGAATTTTTCAAATCGATTTTGATCCAATTTCATGCCAAGACTTTTTTTAGATGGATCACTTAACAGTCACGATGGGTGTGGATGCAAAATAGAGAAGAGATTCATCGCCATCCCCACCGACACACACTCCCCCCCATACGCCTATCCAAAAAAAATCAAAAGTGTAGACTGTTTTTTGACGTCTCCTGTGTTTTATGATATCTCTTTATCTTTCTAGTGACGACAGAAAAGCTAAGAAGTTTTTGTCTTCAATACCTACTTGTCGGACAAATAACAAAATCTGAAATGAAAGCTAATTTGCATTGTTGCTCCGTCTTGAAGTAGTTTCATCTTATCACTTCAAGACAATCTTCCCACTCACTGATGAATGTGTTGACTGAGATAAAGCGTATACTCGGAGGAAAAGAACTCACGAAAGAAAAATAGACATTCATATTATCAACAGTTATTTGCAGAAAGAAAAAAGAAAATCAGAAACAAGGTTGTTTTATCCTGTGACTTCTTTTTATGTAACTGTTTTATTATTTCAAAATACCCTTTGTATGCATCCGAGAATAGAATCATCACACAGGTAAAAAGGAAAAGGAGAATTTCTTAAAAATAATGCTTACTCTTGTGTACTTGTTAGGCGATTCATTTAGATAAAAAAAAATGAATCTTTATTTTGGAAATTGACAGCCATAAACGTAGTTCATAGCTATTAGTAGACGACATATTTGAGTGCATTGGACAGAGTCCGATAGAAACCGTCGATTGATATATAAAAATCACTAAAAAACATAATTGAAACTTTGTATTAACAAAAAAGAACATAAGTAATTAATGAGTATAACACTGCGACGAAGATCATATTTCAATTTTCTTTTAAAACGTTTTTATTAGTGTACTCAAAAAGTGAGTACACTACTAGAATCGGTCCGTATGTCCGGCCGGCCGGCCGTCCGGCCGTTAACACGATAACTTTCGAAAGGAGAGTCCGATCACGATGAAATTTTCTACACAGTTCAGTCTTTACAATATCTCGGTCGAGTTCGAAGATGAGAAGGATCCGTCAAGAAATGGCTGAGTTATCGAAAAAATTGTGATTTTTGACCAGACCATTCCTGAGGGGGGTACGGGGATTTTTCGAAAAAAAAATTTTTTGCTCATAATTATTCACAAAATACATAAATCGACTCAGTTTTTAACGCTGATTCTGAGACTGATATTAGTTTTGAACCGAATCATAGTTTTGTGTACTCAAAAAGTGAGTACACTATATAGAATAGTCAGTGCGTTCGTCCGTCCGGTTGGCTGTTTACATGATAACTTTTGACAGCAGAGTCAGATTGCGATGAAACTTTCTACACAGCTTAGTCTTGACAATATCTCGGTCGAGTTCGTAGATGAGAAGAACCGGCCGAGCCATTCCTGAGTTATTGAAAAAATACCTACTTTTCCCTATAGCCTTCTGTGGAAAAATGGACCCATCGGGACTTTCGTAAAAGACTTTTCCTATCATAGTCAATTAAAATCCCAACTATTATATACCATTCGATAGAGAATTTCAAGAGCTACAAAATGATATATAAAACAGAAAGAAGCAAGAAGACTGACTCATCTATCACAAGGATAATTAAAGAGAACTAGGTTATATTTTGGTCCACGATCTAATTGATCCATAAACAGAGCTGTATCTTCTGATCACATTGATGATACTTCGAGGTTTTCAGAGATGGAGAACTCGAATGTGTACTGCACTTCCATCGAAATACTATTGGTTGTGCAGTGACCAATGGAAATCAAGTTATAGGAAAAACGCCTTTGTTAGGGTAAATCAAGGAAAAGAGTTCAAACTTGAGCTGTATTCGGTCCCATGTCCTATTGGTTTGGCAACGCGCAATAGAAATCAACATTTTAAATGGTAGGTTCCCCAGTATAATTTTGATGTTGAGATATTCTAGGATGACTGATTCGTATGATTCACTTTTTGAAGTACACATAACTTTCGGATTTAAATCCGAAGTTTCCGCATTTATTTTATTTTATTTCGAGCTTTCGACAATTTTCAATTGTCATCATCAGGAAACAGTAACAAGAAACAGATAAGACTATATATATATATATAACAATACAACAAAAAAGGAAAAAGAATTGTATATATGATGGATTACATTGATAGATCAAAGGTAGCAAGATTACAAGTTTACACATATTTAAATTAATTCGAATTAATTTAAAAAGTTCGAAGAACTTATTTTGGACCATAAAATAGTCCTTTCGGACTTAGTTGAGTTTTTTTCTTTTTTGATGTTATTAGGAATGTATTTGAATTTTGTCTGTTGGTATGTTGTTGGAAGTAAATTAATACGAATGATGATAACTATTTTTGGTAGTTGTTGATGTTGTGTTATTATTGTATTAATGTAATAGTGGAAATTATTGAAATACTTTTAATTTGAATTTTACATCGTTGATCGCTTGTCCATGAGTTTCTTCTGTGAAGAGACTTTCTTTTATTGTACGTCGTTTCCAATTGGTTTCTAATGCTAATGTTTCGGATTCGTCAAATTTAAAGGAATGTTTATGATTATGTACATGTTTTGCTATGTTCGAGGGTGGATGTGGGTGTGGGTGTGAGTGTGGGGTGTGGGTGTGGGTGGGTGTGGGTGTGGGTGTGAGTGTGGGGTGTGGGTGTGGGTGGGTGTGGGGTGTGGGTGGGTGTCGGTGAGGGTGTGGGCGTGGGTGTGGGCGTGGGTGTGGGTAGGTGTAGGTGTAATAGCGTTTGCTCTCTCTATCCACACATATCCACACCCACCCACCCACACCCATACCTACACCCTAGTTATAACGTTGTCATATAATTTTGTCGAAGTTATAACTTCGACGGCGATGTTTAACGAAGTTATAACCTCCCCAATAGAATATTGTCGAAGTTATTTTAGATCAACTAAATATCAAATAACTGATGATA